CCCCCCAATCCATCCCTCCTCCCGCCATTCTCCTCATCCTATTTAATGTCGTAATTCATTTCAATCTTCATTAAGTCTTTCTTGTTATTTCATTCCCTTAAATCAGATCAACAAGGCAGTGATCACAGACATTGCCATGTCTCCCAATGCCACAGAAGAGTCTTCAGTGATGAAGCGCTGGTGCTCTGTCAGTATGGTCACTGAGGAGGTGTCGGTCATCCGCTACAACCCGGTGATTAAGGACTGCAGTCATGTGAACAGAGATTCCTTGTTCTACCCCGGATGCACTGGTGGGGGCAAGGAGAGGATGACCGGAGACCTCGAGTTTTTGATTGGCTGGAATGAAACGGAGTTGATTAATAAAACCCTACATCGTAATAGATGTAAGTGTGAGCTTTTGTGTTGTGTGTTCAGGAAAGGAACAAACTGATTGTTCCTACTCCAACCGCTCTTCACACTAAAACCCCAGCATTTAGTGACAGGGGGCTAGTGGAGGCACTTGATGAGGCTGTCTGTCACATAGCACACTTACTATCCTCGTGAATTATGAAATCAGTAAGCAGTAAACAGTAAGGTTATTGGAGAGGAAGAGAGGAAGGGGGGGGGCAGAGGGATGGGGAGAGAAGGATGGGGCAGAGAAAGTTTTAAAACACCAATGAATGCCAGTGGCAAGTAACAGAGTAGGTTTGATTATCACCTTCTGCAGGAAGGAGAACATGGCTCAAGAAGGGATAAATGAGGAACTAGTAATTCATGGAAAACATTGAAGAGATTTAAAATATATGCATTCTTTGCCACAACATCAAGAGAACTAGAAAATTTAATCAAAATTTGCCAAAGAACACGATGGCCAAAAAGGGTGTAAAGAAGACCAAAATCATGGACATAGACAAATGCAAAGAAGTGGTGTAATAAAAATGAATGGGGAAGACATAAAAAGAGTAGGCCCGTGCAGTTTTGAATATCTCGGAGCCAAGCTCGAGGCACGTGGATTAACAGCCCACAGAGATTAAATGGAGAATTAAAACTAAAATGTTACAGATGAATTGTAAGAATACCGTGGAGACAAAAAATTAAGAATGAAGAGGTATTAAGAAGAATAGGTGTATAGAAATGCCAACACCCCCCCAGAGCATGATGAAACTGAAACTCAACACCTTTGGGCTTATCAAGTGCCATTATTCACTCAAAATGCATATTTTTGTAAGCAAGAGAATAAGGGGGAGACATAACAGGACATAGAAACATGTCTTGTAACCAAAACAATTTAGGCAGGCAGAATAGAAAGAGACAGGGTGCTTTATTGCAGAAAGGTCTAAGAAGCAACATGCAACCACCAGAAAAGCCAAGTAGAAGAAGGAAAAGAAGAAAAAGAATTCTCAGGCTGACACCCCCTCTTTCTTTGAGTCTAGTAGAGTGTTGGAGTATACTTTTTTCCCATTCATCTGACCATGTACTTATGGCCTCACATCAGACCTCATCATTCAACCCCATTTTTTACCTCTTTTCTTTTCTTTTTATTTAACTTCAGCTCTTGACTTTTCTTTTCCAAGTCCCTTCGAGTCATCATCTTCAACTTCTTTTAGTATCCGTAGTCAAATGGAAGGTAACACGTTTTAAAAAACACTGTCATAATGTCCCTTGCAGGTCCCAGCTTGTTTGCTCAGACAGACTTGGGTGACAAAGCAGCCGGAGCTATCCTTCTCGTTGTCTCCATTGTCATCATTCTCACCTCACTCATTGGCATTGTCAAAGTGCTGAACTCTATGCTGCAGGTGAGTGCAAACTGGATGTGTGTGTG